GTTAAACTTATTTGAAAATAATTGAATCGACTTCGGACCGAAAGTTAAAAATCATTTTCAAATTTTTCTTAGGTTTTATTTAAAGCAAGGTAATTCACACGCACACTAAACAGACAGCTAGGTGTACGATAGGATTTTAAGGGGAGAAAATAATAGCTTAGTGAATTAAACTTAATGGAATGAAAATAATTTTATTATTTAATTTTTTTTCAATTTATTTTCGATTTTTAAATTAAAATAATTTTATTTTTAAATTTATTTTAAATTTATTTCTTATTTTATGAACTGGTCTATACTTAAAATGTCAATTTTCTCGAGTATAATACTTCATATTTTCGTCGAAAAAACAAGGTAAATATTCTCACAGGCTTATTACTATACTTTAAAATAAGCTTCAGTTATTTATGTACAAAAAATATATTCCTATTGTACGAACGTTTTAACGAAAAATGCGAAATGCTAATTGGTAGATATAAAAACATTATGTTAATAACAGTTATTATATCCGGCAATAAACAGCTACAGATTAGACAGAGCAATAAAGTGGCCGTTGTATTGGCCCACTAGTGGCAGACTGCCAAGCGGGTCGCGGCTTCAAATTCGGCCGTAATAATTTCAATTGAACGTAATGGTCTATTTATTAGCTTCAAATTAAGCACGTACTGAAACTAGAACATTAAAGATTACTCTCAGTTTTTGTTGGGTACGGCGGCAATTTTATATAATCCACAGATTATAAACGACGTAAAATACTGTATTAATCTATACTAATATATAAAGCTGAAGAGTTTGTTTGTTTGTTTGAACGCAGTAATCTCAGGAAGTACGGGTTCAAATTGAAAAAATATTTTTGCATGTTGGATAAAGCATTTATCGAAGAAGATTACACAAACAATTCAAGATATCTAAAAAATGTGTATGATAGAATGTATTCTCTTTAAATGATCTAAAAAAGTCCACTATGCAATATGTGTATCTTTTAAGATTAACTTGCAAGAACGACGGGAAGGGACACAGAAGCTTAAGTTAACAAGTTAAAAACAACGATTTTCGCGGACTAAGTCGCTGGCACAGCTACTGTATTATATTCATTCATCATTCACATCGTTATAGTATCTGTATCACGTAACTATTTCAACGGTTTAATACATTGACTAGCATTAACTTCAAGAAGTCTTGGACTTGAATCCTTGACATGATATGTGCTTGGTCTTTACACAGACGAACCCCCGAATATTGTGTTGTAAAAAAATATTTATACAGACCTTTAAGGACAGTATACCAAGAATTTACAGTTTTTTTTTTATAAAATTTTTACACAATAATGTTTTGAAGGTATCGGTGTGATATAGGCTTAACGTCGGTGAGGCGTCGATAAGTCCAATTTGCTTGTATCACGTACGCGATGCGTACGGGATTTAAAAAAAAACCTCATCAAAATCTACTCTAGAGACTTTTCTTAAAAATACTAAAGGGAGGGATCTAGGATAATAGATATTTAAATAGAAAGATACACGTAAAACCGTATTATGTTAAACAAAACATATTATATGTGAAGGAAAGATGCAAATTATGTCTATAGTTTACATCATCACGAAGTCTTGTTCCCACAGCTGGGACAAGCTGCCTGTTAATTTGTACATGTTGAGTTATAACGCGGTTTAAGGGTCCTATATGCATCGACAGGGGTAGTACCTCAAAACACAAGTCAAAATTAATTCAGTTACTCTATTGTACAACCTAACCATTTATAATTAAACCTTATGAAATTCCAACTATAACATTTTGTTTCGTGTAATGAAATTGCATGGAGATAGAATTAAAATAATATGGAATATAATTTTAGGAGAGCATTAAAAAGATATTGTGTAACTTACATAATAATTGATTATATAATAAAATAGAATATCATTAAGTTTAATATAAGATAATACAAAACGTGTTAATACAAAAGTGTATAAAATTATTGTCTATAATACACGCAACTGATACGAATTTAATATTAAAAGATTTAATTTTAAGAATTTAAATCGTGAATATATTTATTATTTTTCAATATAGTCCTCCTTAGACCACAGATACTTTAAAGGAATCCAGAAGGCGAGTCCTATTTAAAAAAGGCATTGTATTTTGCGCTTTAAACCGTTTTATTTATACTATGTACTATGCGAAAACGTAGCAAACCTTTAAAATAATCTAATTATCATTGTAACGAATTTAACGCACGTTTTAGTCCCAGTATGCTATTTTGTTAACATTTTAGGAACATACCGCTACACTGACTGGACAAAGCGTTTTCATTTTGGCGGGAGCCATGATAGATGGTGTCGGTTGACAGGTGAAGCGTGCGCCATTTTGTTTTGTGTTGCCGTCGAAAAAACTCTTTGCGAACTAAAAATGTTTTGCTTTATTTATCAATCAATTTTGATTTGTCAATTTACTTAATTAATTATAATAATTTCACACTTCATTTTCAAAATTACTTTGTAATACAGCAATACCAATACTAAGATAAGACTAGCGTTACCTTTGTGACTTATGGTACAAAATAAAATAGAACAAAGAAAGATATACTTTATTTTACACTGAAAAAACATCAATATTTTTATATTATATTAAATTAACTATATATGTATAATTGGCGGTATATTATCATATATAGAAAGATAACCAACCTGGCGTCATTTTTTAGCTAACTGATCCCGTTGACCGTCAATACATAAAGTAGTACAGTAAATAAAATTATAATAATACACATGGATACTGTGTACACATGACAAAATAATAACACTTAGTATTATAGCGGCAAATGATAATGTGGTATGCTAGCTTTGTCTTTAAGCGTGCCTCGTATTTAGGTTATAACCTATACTTAATTTATCACGTCTTTACATTGTGTACCTGAAGAGCTACAAAATACCTCTATGCTACAAAAATGCCCCGCGGAAAATAATTTTATAGAAGTTTCAATTGGCTATTAAAATCAGAAACATTTACATTTTCTATCTATTCAATTGTGCTAAAATAGGCCATTATGGTTTGCACCTGGACCATCATAAAATACTTGTTACAGCTTGGCGTGCTGCCGGAACATATTATGGCGCGGTTCATTTTTAAATGATTATGTAAATTCACCTAAACTAGGTGATTTTTTTATGATCAAGTAACCTACCTTTGTACCTTTCAAAGCCTTATAAACCTAGATACAAGAGGAGACTCTTGGAAAAAAATTTGATAGGCAGTCCGCTACACCAAATTGCACCAGAAACGAAACGCATATTATGAAAAACATATTAATTTATCAACATTTGAAAATCTACGTTTTATCATATGTTCAATATGATGTTTAATATGGCATAATCACACATATACTAATATTATAAAACTGAAGAGTTTATTTGTTTGAATGCGCTAATCTCAGTAACTACTGGTTTAAATTGAAAAATTATTGTTGTGTTGGTAAAAACATTTTTTCTAGGAAGGCTTTAGGAAGAAACAGTGGAAAATGTGAAACAAACGAGAAAAATTATTTATATTTGAGAGGTTCCGATGCGTGTGCTGTTGAAACAGTCAAGGTACCTGAAAATGAATATTAAAACGATCGAAAGAAATGTCTGCGACACTATATTATGTCTTTCTTATAAGGTTAACTTGCAAGAACGATGGGACGCAAACGATGTCGTGGGTAATAACTAATTTATAAAGATGAGGAGGGGGTATGCAAGAACAAATTTTGACGCCCAAAATAACTATTCGACGCGGACGAAGTCACTGGCTCAGCATATATGTTTTTATGTTTAATACGAGTAACGAAGGTAAAATATGTAATATATAAGGTGGCGTAATGATTTTCAAACTTAATAATTTCCCAGCTTCAGGAGTCTCAAGTCTCAGCTAGTTATTAGTTGCCATTTAGTCTAAGAGTAGAATAACAGAAAGCGACACGTGATAAGAATGTTTCATTGTATCATAGCAAAATCATATTATACCATAAACTTAAATCTTTGTCCTATCAAATGCCTGACTGATGCCGCACACTTAGGTACATTTCATAATTGTAAACATATGCACCTTAATAACCAATATTCGTATTACATGTCGAATATGCAAAATACTCTTAAAATAAGTATTTTTCTATTGTACTTCAGATTGCCTGGAAGTGATCGCTGCTTAACGATAAGGCCGCCTTTCGTTTATAGGTTAGTGCGTAAGAGTTTTTCTCTTTTATATTTTTCTTTTTTTTTGGTGTGTTATCTATATCTATACTAATATATAAAAGCTAAAAAATTTTGTTTGTTTGTTCGAACGTGCTAATTTCAGAAATTACTGTTTTGAATGAAATAAAAATTTTGTGTTAGTTAGAGCATTTATTGGGGAAGTTTATAGGCTATAAAACATTGTACTGTGACAAATAAGAGCGAAGAAACAGCGAGAAAGGTGTAAAAAAGCGGAAATAGTTATTAAGCTCTGTGGGTTTCCGATGCGTATACTGCGAAAACGGATTAAGGCACGCAAAAAATATGTATGAAAGAATGATTCATCTTTAAATGATCTAAAAATGTCCGCAATAGTATATGTCTATCTTTTAAGATGAACTTGCAAGAACGACGGGAAAGGACGCGACCGACGTCGTGGCCAACAGCTTAAATGTATAAAAATAAACGGGTTTGCAAATCGAATTTGGCTACCCAAAATAACTATTCTATGCAGACAAGTCCTACACAACTAGTAAATAATAGAGGTATAATAATAAAAAAATACAGACTGAGAATTTAAGTGGTAGATTTGATATATATTATAAATTGCAATTTAAGAGGTAAGTTAACTAAAAATTTGCAAAAAGATTTTAATGAATTAAAAAATCTATTTAAATAGATTAAATTACCATTCCAAAATTGTTCACATTTAGCGGCAATGCAAGCTATTAGTTATAGAAGTGAGTCGTGCATAGATTTTTCAGTAAGTTTAAAAAAAATATGTTAATCTCTTAGACTATCAGCATGGTATGTGGCAGGGATACATTATTGGATCACTCGCTACATAGCCGTTATTTTGAGAATGAATTTACTGAATTTTCCTTCGTATTCAGGCAATATATTACATGATGTAGTAAGCGAAAACAACTGTTCCATGAAGTTATGGGTTTGTCTACTTTGCAATGACCGAAATATGAGCATGCGATAGAACTGAATGCGTCTATGAACAAATAGATTTGTGCTGTATTAAGTCCAGATTGAAAATGTTAATGTGTGCTATAAAATAATAGTCAAAGAATACGATGGTAACGTACCTATAGGATTTCACGACCATTTTAAAAGGTTTTTTGTGTTTCAGAGTTCGGCCAATTTAATTGAGAAATTGCTGTCGACTTTTTGCTATTATGAGTAGATGACATCAACACTAGTTGTGTCATTTTTCTGTAGTAGTCTTCCATTACCTAGATTTTTTTTTATTTTACTTCGTCTTATTACTCTAATTGTATCTACATGTTATCCTTACTATTTCGCAGTTTAGAAGATAGGATATGTGCATAGGAAATAGAACAATATACGAAACTAAATTAAATTAGATAAGTTTCTATACTCTTTAATGAAACATGAAACTATAGATTAGCAAAATTAAAAATAACATACACATAACAAGCTAAAGTTTGTTCTAGACACATTTAATTAAGTAAAACTAATTATTGTCGTCGGTTATGGAACCCGTTCGGGTGTCTACGGGCATTTTCTACCTTTTCCACATCGTATAGCTTCCTTAAATAAATGAAGATCCAATTCCTGCCAAGAATGCGAGTTGAATAGAAATATTTCACGTTATTTCGCGAACATTAAATGAAAACGACTAGAATTTAATGAATCTATCTCAATTATGTTAATTACTCTTATTTAGAGATTCGTAATTATTACAGCAATCCAGGAGAGGGATTATAAATTTTCTGTATTCAACTTGGCTAAAATGAATTCGAGTTTAAGGACTGAAGAAACCCCGCAACTCCAATTTCATGCTCAGCTGTTTGTGACTGTGAAATCCTTTTGTGCTAATGTAGGCATGTGTACATATGGATCCATGTGTGTGTGCGTTCGAATGTTTTTATTTTGTTAACTAGTTTGTGGGCAACAGTAGTCCAGTCGATTGTGATAAGACTAATCATAGAAATATGTAGACCAGACAGCGTAACAGAATCTTGAACCAGCACAAGATGATGAGATCTTGTATCTTTTTAATCGATGTCCCATAACGGCATTAATTTTATATTGTAGAATAGTATTTTAAAATCGGGAATACGCCTACAATTTTAATTTCTCAGAAATGCACGACATGAAATTAGAGCAGTTATAGCAGACTTTGAAATTTGCTTTAGTGTTTATAGAAATATTTGAAAGTTAGTTTAATTTACCTGTTAATGATTTAATCGATCATAATCATCTTTAAAATGGCTACAAACCTGATTATGCCAGTATCACGGAAGATGCTTAGGCGCAACGCAATGCTCCCAGCTAATTTATGAATCAGTATTTACAAAGAGTAATTTTAAACATTTAGTGTTTCGCTTTTAAAAAACTAAAAAACACTACATGATCTTGTACTCAACTATATTTTTGAGTTCCAAGAACTACATACTTCTTGGAACTACTAGGTAGATCGCAAAGGATTTCGTTAGAGAACAGGAGATCTTGGGTCTTTTTAAATTGACGACGTCTGGGTCTTACTTATGTGAACTGCTGATTCAAACCTATATTCTCTTGCGCTACCAACGAACCATATAACCATTGATACACACATATAGCTCTTAGTATGGAAACGTAAGTAACTATTAGTTGAAAGTGTTGACCTTGTATCCGGAAAACGTTTTGGTTTCGCCATGGGAACCCCTTAATTAATTTCAGCTGTTTCAGAATGTATATTCCATTATAAGTATAATTATTTCGTAGAAGAGATGTACTGTCGGTAGGAACTAAAACAAATCGTCTCGCAAACGTTTTAATTTTGGTAAGTAACGCAGGAAAAGGTTTTGTATGAATATCATTCATCCAACCTCTTTGACCCTTACAATTCCGGGCAGTGTTTTTAAAAGGTTTTTTGTTGATAGAATAACATGAAAGAAGCTACGGTTTTCTCGATGAGCAGATACGTATACAATGTTTAATTTTCTTTTGCCCTTTGCAATTCAAACCTGAGGATTAAAAGTGTACGTGGATTAGCTGTCAAGGACACACTCTTACCACAATATTTTGGAAAATCCTTGCATTCGCCTAAAAATTCTGTCTTAAACATTTGTCACGTATTTGCTAATTACAGTAGGTAATATGTCTATAATTTATTATTTATGATTTTATTTTTCTTCAGTGCGATCTTAATAGATCTAACAATATCAACGTAAAATACGATACTTTATTTAAAACAGGTCGTATATTGTAACATACTTTCTATCCCTAGATATAACTAAACACTGTATAGATGCACGTGAACACGGCTACTCGATTGAACGTAATTGCTAGTTGCTGTTTACAAGGAACAACATAGATTTTGACAGGTAGCACTATTACCTTGCTGTGACAAAGTTAGCGAAACCATTACCTTAATTAGTTATATAATATGTGTATCTACATAATCCTCAAACTACCCATACTACAAAATATGCAGATGTTAAAAAGAAAAACTGTGTACGATAGGTTAAATTTTGTATAAAATAAAAACGACTATTACAATTTGGTATTACACCAAAATTGGTAAATCAAAACTGTTTGTATTATTTTTTTATTATAATTGTGCAGTTGATTTGCATAATATACGTTGTTTAATAACTATATTTATGAAATACGTAATATCTATGCTACTAATAAGTTCACCAGGTTAACGTTTTGTATCATAAAGTTTTTTTATTAATTATTTTCGTTGTAGATAAAATTTTATTAGAAGAAAATCTAATACTAATCTAAAGCATTTTTAAACTGTGGCGTTGGACTATTTATAATCATTGTCAATGTCATTGAAAGAAAGCTGACAAAACTTGACAAGCAAGTCTGACAGCTAACAGATGTTTTAATTCTTGGATGCTTGACAGTTTTTAAGACTATCAGATATCTGTGCAGATTTCTCTCGCTCTAACGGTTGTCGGACGACTGTCTACCACTGTCATTTTAGTTTTTCTCGCCGCAAATTAATTTATTACTGTAAGTACTTTCTTGTTATTTATCATTAACACACTAATATTTACGTAAAATATATATTTTTTACATTCCTATTATAATAAAGAACAATATGCAAAAACTTCATCTACCTAATGCTGCCGGTGTCATCTACGGATTCATCTAGAAGCATATTTTATAACAATTATTCATATAAAGCGTTTAAACTAAACATTGGTTGCGCTAGACGAAATCAAAGTTTAAATGTAGGTTATCCTTAAAGTGATTCATACTTTTTTTTACATTTATTAGGCAGGTAATTTCTATCATAAAACTTGTTAAAATTTTACTCTATTCAATTGTTTTGGGTCAAAGGTTAATATGATGCAAGAGGCATTAAATAGGAAAAGAGAACGCAGTGAATCGGGCAGTGACCATGTGGGAAATTTAACAAAAAAGTTATTAATCTCAAGGTTAGTTTCACGTAGTGTGACATGGTGGGGGTTAGCATGAGGATATCTTAGTTATATTTATTATGGTGTTTATAACTATACATCATTAATATATACTGCTTATAGTTACTCGCTAATAAGGAATTATATCAAGGTACAGCTTTGATATACCTACCTAAAAGAGTAAAATTTATAAAAAAAAACTATATGATTCTATCTACTAACAAGTTACATTGTGTAAAAAATGCTCAGCAAAAAAATGTTGTTTTTTACTTTTGATGTTAAAGTTAAACACTTAATTTTGCTTTTTAAAGAATTCTTTGTATGCACAGTAGGTACTTATGTTTAATATTCAGATTAAACTAAGCCTTAAATATGATAATCTTCATACCATTGCAAGCAAGCTGTTCATCTTATTATGTAAGGTTATTTAATTGAACTCTTACATTTTAATATTGTTTGATGTCGAATAAAGATTAATTTATCAAGAGGTGATAATGAAGTTGTTTGTCTTTAGTTAAAACAAATGCAATATTGCTTAGTCATATAATCATGGAATGTTTTAAAAGTGACGGTCATTGTTTCACAATGATTTCAGAATGTTGCTAACTTTTGTGTTTAAAACAATAAGCAACAATGTGTAGAATGTATTGTGATGTGACATTAAATTTTTTCAGTTTCATGATGTCACTATTATATGGCAAAAAAAATTATAGTTAAGTTTTAAACAGGTAATGGTAGTATTTAATTTTTAATTAATCAAGCTGGTCACAGAATATTACAACACATCTTGTAATATTCCCACAAAATGGATCAACATTGTATGCTAATTAACTTTGCATTAACATATATACTTACTACAGCTGATCAAATTTTCAAGTAATTACAATGGCTGTGGAGCATAAATGTTACTGTCGTGGTGATGAAGTCAATGCCCTCGACTTGCAAAAACCTGAGCATCTCTTGCCGATGATGAGACCTTTCTCAATGAGGTTTTACGATTAATCTTTTTAAAATTGGTGTAGTTAAATATGTATTATTGAAAATATTATTATGTAGATTTGAAGTCACTTTTGAGATAGGTACTTATAGAAAATTATTAATAATCTCAGTCTTTGACAAAAGATTGAACATTTAAAACTATAATCTTCTGTTTTTTTTTATACTACTAGTACTATAACTTGTAAAATATTTGTATTTTTTTATCTATTATTAATTTACATAATGTGTCTATTACCTAGGTGCTATTTGAAATTATCAGCACTGTATAACAATAATTAGGTAAATATTTGCAATTCATTATACTTATTTTGTCATAGACTTACATGTGTAGAATTGAATTTTAAGTAAGGATAAAGGTATACTTTGTTGATCACCTAGTCTCTTGGATGTAGATAATACCACGTCGTATTTATCTAATACTTAAGATTAGATTATCATAACAAGAATTTAATTTCTGTCTCGTATTTTATCTATCAATTATTCAAGACGTTTGTAATGCCATCTAAAGGTTTCTTTGACGTAGGTTCCAATTGTTTATTTCGTCAGCTGTACATGACCAATTCAAGTTATATAAGATGTTTTTATAAGCGCCAGATTATATAGTAATGTTTAACTTATTTGAAAATGATTTTTAACTTCGCCCCGACGTTTCGGATGTTTTGCAGCAGCCGTGATAATCATTTTTAAACCGCTAAAGTGTTTTATTTAAATGTACTACTCGCGTACTATGACAGTAGTAATAATGTTTGTAAAATTTCATATGTAAATGTGGTTTGTGTGTCCATATACAATAAAAACCAATACAGAAATCAGAATTATGGACGTTTCAAAAACTAATTAACAAAAGAGAACCACGCCTGCTCAATTATAAACGCGGTTAGTTTTAATGTTATTCAAATTGCTTTTTCCCTGAGGGTAAGTTTGTATGGTAGTTCTAGAGTTGTGACTATGTAGCGAATAGTTTTAATTTTCCTTGTTAATATCTGGTATAGTAGTATGTTTAATGTATTATGTAATTTGTATGTTAGAACAACTTTGAATGACTTGATGTTAATTGAATACACAGGTGTTACAATCGAACAGTACGTGTATATTGTGATAATAATTATTTTTTAACGCCCCCCATAACTTTCAATTTTACTACATATATTGTTCATTAAGTCTCTAACAATACTGTCAAGTTGACATTACTCTACCCAGAGACATTCGACAAAGTCGGTCTTCGGTTCAATCCCAGGTTGTGTCACAAAATGTAATATCCATTCTTTGTTCAAATACGTTACGTAACCACCGATAATTGTTCCCAGGGTGAATAACCTCGAGAGAGCTGTAAGAAATATGCTAAATTGCGGACTCTTAACGGATTTTCTTTATAAAGGCGACGGAAAATTATTAGTCAGCCTCTGGAGGGAAACCGCTTATTTGCCCCACACTGTCTTTTTAATAGGACCCGATCGTTATGCCAAGGGGCTTAGGTTTGTTAGTTCTTGGTTCGCCTTTGAAACGTATTCTTTTCCGAAAGCATCGCTGAGTAGTTTAATGTGATTCGATGCGATAGTTTATTGATTATGAAATACTAGCTGCGTCAGCGACTTCGTCTGCGGAATATTTAGAATATTTTGAGCGTCCAAATTTGTTTTTGTAAACCTCTTCGACTTTATAAACTTAGCTAGCCACGACGTCGGTCGCGTCCCGTCGTTTTTGCAAATTAATCTTAAAAGATACACAAGAAAAAAATAACATTTTTCGGGATCATTTAAGGAATCATTCATTCATGCATACTTTTATAGATATTTTTAACCGTTTTCGCAGCATACCTACATCGGAAACCCACAGAGATGAATAATTTTTATCAATTTTTCCCGCGGTTGCTCCTATAAGCCACAGCGCGATGTTTTATAGCCTATGACCTTCCTCGATAAAGGCTCTAAAGAACACAAAAATATATTTTTTAATTCAATCCAGTTCCTGAGGTTAGCGCGTTCAAACAAACAAACTTTTCAGGTTTATATATTAGTATAGATCTAATCAAGTACGTCACTCAAATCCTAGTGTCAAAGTGAATCTAGCTTAGTGCCTTTTGGCAAAATACTTAAGCTATATGTTTGCAAAACATGTTATGGGTTTCGTTGAAAGACTTTTACATTCTAGAAATGATAACGTATATTCTTATCAGTCGAGTAGTTTTTAGTGTTTTTTTTATCATTATGACGTAATGTTCCAGTATTAACTTTTCGTACTCGATTGTAATCATTCCATACTTTTTTTCCAAATATTATATTGTAGGTAAATAAATAAGACGTAAATTTAAAGCGGTTTGAATACTATTATTCCTTATATTGAATGAGGAATGTTGTGTTCTCTATTCGTATAACCACGTGGTGTTAAATCCAGTTAAATGGTTGTATAACCGGTCTTTGAACTTGGATAATCGAATAAGTTCATCGTAACGTATTGTAGAATTAATTTGATTACATTGTAATTAATTAGAGTATGTGTAAATATTTATAGTTGATGCAACGAGAGTTAAATGTAGCGTGTTATTGTGTAAGACAAAAAAAGCCTTCAAGTAAAGTTACCCGTTCCTTAGTCACAACAGTTGTTGCTAAGGCACGAATAGATGAGATTCTTAGTAACAAAGAAACATATCTCCGCCCAAAGATCCTAAAACGAGTTTTAAAAGCAAATCATAATAATTACAGCTTTGCCCAAGAAATTTCTAAATAGAAAGAAAAGAAAAAGATAGTTTAAATAAAATACTAACGGTTTAAAACATGAAATATATAATTTAGCATATTTCCAATATACTTTAACTCGACGACGTGCATTGTTTGCATGCTTTGCAGCAGCCGTGGTCACGGGGGAAGCGGAGTTAAATTTTATCATAAAAAACTTAATGAATATATTGCTCTTTTTAAACCGTTAAAAGTGTTTTGTTTAAATTATTAAAAGTTAATGTATATCTATAACATTGCCTGCACTTATGATGTATAAATAATTGGTTATTCTCAAACAATTTCAGCTTCAACAAAATGCCGCTCCAACTGACTAAACCAGCGCCTCAGTTCAAGACCACAGCAGTGGTGAACGGCGAGTTCAAAGACGTGGCGCTCTCAGACTACAAGGGCAAATACGTTGTGCTGTTCTTCTACCCGTTAGACTTGTAAGTACCGCGTTAGACGATATTCTTTTAGAGCCAAATCTTATACTCAGTTAAAAAGTGACGCTTCTTTTTATTATTAGAAGATAAAAGATTTGTACTATACCTAAGTATGTAAATGGTTTGCACCCTAATATTTTGCTTCATAATTTTAACCAATTATACATTATACATTGTGTATATAACACGTTTGACTCGAGAGACAGTATGCATCGTTGTAAAGATCGCTAATCCTCAGCGTAGAACGAGGAAATAAGTTTTTAATCTTAATCATCAGATCTACCATATATTGACCCACTTTGGAACGTGGAACTTAAAAGGCAATTTAAAATTATAATTGAAATTTAAGAATGAGCTATTGAAAAAACAATAAGCAGTAATTAATTAAAATATATTAAAATTAGTCAATTGTTTTGAAAGCAAAGGTGTTTATTTATATTCCTATGCATATGTTAGGTGTCAGCAGGCGCGTGAAAATTAAAATATTTTATAGCCGTTTCTTGCAATATAATCTTGAAAGCGTCATTCGTTGTCTTTTAGATCATTTAAAGAGGAATAATTCTCTAATAATTTTTGCAGCCAATTACACATTTCTTGTGGTAACTTCGCTTGAATCAGTCACAGGGCGATGTTATGTCTATACTATATAGCCTTCCTCGATAAATGCCAACACAAAAATAATTTTTCAATTCGAACCGGTAGTTTCGAGCTTAGCACGTTCAAACAAACAAACAAACAAACTCTTCAGCTTTATATAGCACTAGCTGTGCTATTAAAATAGTGGAATAGTGACTTGTGGTAGAATTTTTATTTATTTGGGCTGTTTATTAATTTATGTAAGGGCGCATTTAAGGCAGCCATTCTATGTTGTAAGTGCTACTTTACCGAAACACTCTCACCTCACATCACTCCTACTTTAACTCACACTCACTCTTATTCCCAAAAAGCCCAAGAAGAAAGTTTCATTGTTCTAGCTTCAAAAGTAGTTTTTGAAAGAGTAACAGACAGAGTTACTTTCGCATTTATAATATTATTAGTAAGGATAGATGTTTATGATTTTCCATCTCAATATTGCTGATGACTTAAATAATGCAATAGGACTTTGCTCTATAGTCAATCTACGTCAGTTCTCTATTTGCTGTGTTTGTTTGGAGTCAAACACAACTTTATTTACATAAATACTTAATGGCCATTATGACGAAGTAACTCATTGGGAAAAAAAAACTCACAAACTAAGTTACCCCGTGACAGTTTCTCATTATAGAAATTTCCAAGGTAATTAATGTACTGCACAATTGTGATGAAACTTTTGATACAATTTCAGCACATTTGTTTGCCCGACCGAGATCATCGCCTTCTCGGAGCGCGCTGATGACTTCCGCAAGATCGGCTGCGAAGTGATTGCTGCTTCCACAGACTCACACTTCACACATCTGGCCTGGATCAACACACCCCGCAAGCAGGGTAAGTGAAAATAAATGTAACTTATAAGCTTAGTGAGGTTTCAAGTCATAGTATTTCAAAATCCCAAGTCGTTCGCACCGTCATTAGTCACAAGACTTACGGTTTTATTTAATGTAATACTAAATATAGGTGTTCTTGTCAAGTTGGGTGATAGTAGAAATAATTAACTAAAGATATATTTCAAGGAAACACTTTTAGGGGTACGCGAGCAGGAGTTGATCGGCATCCACAGCATTCTGTTACTCCAATCAATTAATACCTGTGTAAAAATATTATAATTTTCACATGTACACGATGGCACTACCTAAATTCAAAAGCGATTTTTAATTTTAAAATAATGCAGCAGACACAGTAGGTTAACAGCACGGAACGGTGTTGATGCCTGTTCAAACTGCGTTTTTTTTTCAATCTAATCGATGTTTCATTTATAAAAGCATATTAAAGTTTGCAACTGTATACTACTTTCATGAAATACAGAGAATACGTAACAATGATACGTTATTCGCACTTTGAACCGTTCCGTGATTTATAATACTACACTATAAAAGTATGGAGATGTTAAAACTTGGTGTAATGCCATCAAAAGGCATCTGAACCATAGAGCAAAGAAACCAGCCACGGTATACTAAAACAACATTAAAGAAAGTAGATTGTATTAGATATGTTTAATTATAAGCTGGAATTGTATATTGTGTGGGAAACCACTTAAGACAGAACATACGAATAATCGGGCTTACAGATTACATCAGATTTTTGCGATACTGAAACAGCAGTGAAACTTCCAGGTACACCAGCTAGGCGCGCTTCTCTAGACGAAGGAGGCTTCCTTTGTTTTCAGTCATTAAAATGCTTTATTTTATGTTCGAAACCTCAAAAGCCGCGACGTCGTTCGGCTTCGCTAGGGGACACTAGTGAGTGATTATAGTTTCTGGGTCTACAATCTTCGCTTGTCAACCACCTCTCATTTGTAAAAAACAGTAACAACAGATTCACATCTGTTGTTGGAGTAGCAAGTGCAGCAAACACGTACAGAGTTAGGCATTCTTTATAACTCCAGCGCTGATTTTCAGCTTGTCCACATATACTGTCAACACAATCCCTTAATCTGCAGCTGTGGTTTTCATTTTGACTTGGAGTCATAAGTCAACGTTTGTCTGGATATGTTGTTTATTTTTTTCTAGTATTGTTAAGTGCTTTTGTGAAAAAAACCTCAAAGATCAGGTGTTGTGACCTGTTGGTCTATTCAGTGTTTGAGTTATTGGTCTTCTATTTGTGTATGTTACCAAGTTTGAGCTAAATACTGGTGAGGATTGTTGTATATTGAGTGTGGAGATCTATATTTATTATTTTAGTTTTATTTATATTCTTTGCTTAGGTTCATAGATATATGTTTATTTTAAGGTATTATACGTTTGGTTTTAAATTTCTTATAACATACAATAATATCCAACATTAAATTGAAAATAGAATTTGTCGTGTAAACATAATAACACGTATTCCAGAAGGCACAAAAAAATAAAAATAATATTATATATGTTTCAACTGATAGAAAAATTCAAAATGTTTATTTCCAGGTGGTCTTGGTCCAATGAACATCCCAATTATCAGCGACAAGTCTCACCGCATCGCGCGCGACTACGGAGTTCTGGACGAAGAGAGTGGTATTCCCTTCCGTGGCCTCTTCATCATCGATGACAAGCAACTGCTGCGTCAGATCACAGTCAACGACTTGCCTGTTGGACGGTGAGACTAAGATATATCTGTTATATTATATACTATTCTTATTTTATTGGCCAAGTTTTCTGGTTTCACCTGAGCTATGGAGATAGATTTGTTACTTTAAATAGTTGCTAAAAAATAAATACTTTAATAAACATTTACATAAACAATATTCACAAACTGACAATGTATACTGGGAGTTGGTGGATTCACACCTACGAATTTATTGAATTGAATAAGATAGGAAATTTTAAGCAAGTGTTAACAGGATTAAGACACTTGATGTAAAGTATAATGGTACTTTGAACTAAGTTATAATATTTTGTCCACAGCTCTGTAGACGAAACACTTCGTCTTGTTCAAGCATTCCAGTTCACAGACAAATACGGTGAAGTATGCCCAGCTAACTGGCACCCAGGCTCCAAAACCATTAAGCCTGACACCAAAGCTGCGCAGGAGTACTTTGGAGATGCCAACTAAAAACTACGTTAAAATTAGATCTAGCCCTTATGTTATAACAATAAACTATTATTGATTAAAACCTTTTTTCTTTACTACCTACTACTACTAAGTTACATTCATGATAATACTTATTTTTCAAAAGATAAACATTTTAGGTGTTCAAAAGTAGTAGGTCAAACAGTATTAAAGATTTATTAAAATTAAGTGTAATTAATGACTTTTTTCATTAAAAAGGTCATTAATTACACTTAATTTTAATTTCTAAGGGATAATGCAGCCGATATTCAAACTATATTTGTTTTACAGAAAAGGGCTATTCGATCGATTTGTGGTCTTTCTCCACGAGTCTGCCCGAGATATGTATATTATTTAAATCATTGAATATTCTAACATTAGCAGGTCAATATATTTATAAAAATGTTTTGTTTCCTCGAAAAAATGTACATAATTTTAAATCAAATGGCACTTTTCATCAATATAATACACGCAATAAGAATAATAAAACTGCTTGGAAAGGGTTATTATAGCGTAAATGAATATTTAAATTATAAAAATTCTTGGGGTATGGAGGAACCCGCTCTATCGAGGAAGAAAATGTACACATTAAGTGCGTAACGAATTTTAGTAAATTGAAATAAAAACTTGTCAATTAAAAGGAGTGGTGGCGAGTTTCTTGCCAGGTTCTCGTCCGTTCCTTCTTGGGAATTGGTAGAACTTAACTATAAATTTAGAGTTTTAACTGTTTTGATGTTCTTAAGTGTACTAAGCTAACTACATAAATAAATGATTTTTGATTTGATCTAATTTGCTCTATTTACAACGCATCAAATTTTTTTAACATACATTTTGACACATGTCATATATTTGTTGTTATAATTATGTGTTTTTTTTTACTTGATAGTTTAATGGTAAACAATGTGTAAGATATAAAAAATGTGTGACATGCTAACGAAAGGTCACCAATAGACGGTGTTAATTTAACCCTTACATAAGAGACTAAATATGCGAATACAATACGCATTTTTTGGGTGTCAGTAAGAAAATATGAAAATATCACTAGGAAAATATATTAGGGTGTATAAAATTCCTATTATTTCATACGTTTTATTATGACATCCATAAAAAATAACGACTCAATAATAATAAAATAATCGATTTTTGGGAAATATATTTTCCTTGAACGCGAAAGGGTTAAAAATATCGTATTCTGTAAAACTTCATCGCCTTTTTTATGATAGAGAAGGACAAACAAGCTGATGGTACTGCTCCTTTATATTCAATAGCCATAGTGTTGGTCAAACACAAAAAATAACAGTGCGAGCTAACATCTAATAATAAACATATAATATTATCCTACTCTATGGAGCTAACCTAAGGACGATAGTAGTCTGAGAATCTATTTTATTGATAACAGCGCCACCTATAATTTAATATTTAATTCATGAGTACTTAAATCACAATCTTCAGAAAAACTAAAAGTTGCAATAAATTAACGAAAGGTGGGACGATAACCAATTATGTGTATATATATTATCATCGATGAATTATGAAGGGATTAATAATATAAACAATATTAATAACAAGTTTAAGCGTCGTAGAACTACCGCATAAATATCACCTGGGGGCCTACTACCATCTTTTACAAAACCATCAACGTTTTTTTGCAAGCTTAAAACACATTAATACTCAGATTCGTACCATAACCAATATAACACAATAATGTTTTAATCCTGTGTAGAGATTTAAAAGAACGAATGATTGTCTATTCCCTGCTTCTGAAAGCGAGATAACAATTTTTTGTCGTATAGCGTCATCACTTTCGCACAGTGTTCCGAAACACCCACTTACAGTTAAGGTTTTGGATTTTTGAGTAATATTATACACAATTTTACCTATATATGTGTAAAGTAAATAAAATAAATAAAAATATGTTCAAATAAATTTAAAAACTTTTTTTTTTCATAAAACTAATTCTTATCTTAAAAATTAAGACAACTTTATGTCAGAAACACGGAGCTTCGCTGTTGTGATTTCTCGAAACGGAACCTTTATTAAGTTGGGACGAGGTGTCAGTGAAATTCGGCGCGGCAACGCTTGAATATTCTAAAATTTGTATGATTAAAGTAAATTGCACATTTTACATGTCTCAATTTTAAAATGTCAGACGGAAAGTAAGTAAAAGTTCAAAACAGTGTTTTTATAATTTATTTAGTTTATAAAACCAAGTCTTTCATGTAGCTGAAAGTTCTCTTTGCTTGGAATTCAAGTGGCAATAGTGTTTTAATTTTTGCAGCATTGTATTATAGCTCGTCGGATTTCGGGGCAGCAGTTAGATATTTTGTGGGAATATTTAATTTCCCACAAAGATATACCCACTGCCTAAAACCAACCAAAAAAAGGAATATTAATAGAAATCCTTAACTCGCAAGGTAAAGAAGCTCACAAGGATTGGAGAGGCTGGTCTAAAGTAATTATTTAATGTTTCTACACAAATATTTGAAAATATTTATATATATTATACTGAATACTGACTTTATCTTGTTAGTACAGGGTGGACCTCAAGGCAAAATTATAGAAAAGAGCCGCTGCTGTCCTCCCAAGCTAGAACCGGCGGAGGGCCTTCCACTGACCAACCCTTGACAGAGGGTAGAGAGAAAAGAATATCCAGTCCGTTATGCACTCCTTTTCAACTGTCTATATATTTAATTGACGATATCACTGTTTTCGTATAGACAAATTTGATAAATGCATACCCACAAATCAGCACTGTTAAGTCACTATAATCACTGTATACTTTTAAATTCAACTTCTAATTCGATATTTAGTTATAATTCAACTAATACACTGCAAAAATACCCAGTTCGAGTATAATTTATAATTTTAATTTACGACAGTAAGTTAATGACAGACGGCGACAACGACCCTATATAGCACCGCTTCTGTAGCTAAACGTGTTGCCTAGCATTGCGTTAAGTGCTAGAGGTTTAACCTGCGATGGAACCCTGGAGAGACAATACCTTGTCTTGTAGTTTTGATGGGTAGGCCTATAGGTATGATCAAGTACTGTAAACAAAACCGATACAGAAATAACTACGCCTCATGATTTTATATTAACTAACGTAGCGGGTAGAAGTGGGATAACACGAAACAAATTTTGATGGTTTAAAATAACAACGACAAGTAAGAAGGACGCGTAAAAGATACATGTTCCACCATCCTGTAGGTACGTTTCTATGCTATAGTATAGCACTAGAAATAATTTGGCGTAATAAGTTTCACCAATAATCTTAAATACTCTTGAGTAGATAATATTCACAGAGTGACAGAATAGGCTATAGAACCACAGTAAAGTTAAGCTAATACCTAAATAGTGTTATGGTCTCGTAAGCGTTAAAAGAAATTCTAATATCGAATAAAACCTATCATCTTTCATCGTATTAGCGGTATATACTGTCACTAAAGGTAACAACAATTAGTCATTTAAATAAAACACTTTAACGGTTTAAAACGCGATATATTAGTTAAACTTATTTGAGCATTTGCAGCAGCCGTGGTCACGGGGAGTCTCCCCAAACGTCCGAAACGTCGGGCCGAAGTCAAAAAATCATTTTCAAATAAGTTTAACTAATATATCGCGTTTTAAACCGTTAAAGTGTTTTACTTAAATGTGTACTACTCGCGTAAACTATAGACAGTATTTAACAATTAGTCAATTAATAATAATTCTGTTTTATTTGTATGTTTTGTTTGTTAATTGAAACTGAAATTGAACATGTGCCAAACGCTAACTTACAATATAAACATTCGACAAGCACGCGGCGTGCTTAGTAAGATGATACCATATCAAAGTTTTAAATAAACTTTTGTGTAGCAGGGCGCATATACAACGAACGAACAAGTAGGTATTCAATGTTATTAATAAACAAGTTAGATATTTTGCACTTGCACCTCATGTCGTTGCTTTTATCTGTATTATAAAACATTTTAATATTAATCTGTATTTTTATCGCCGAAAGATTAAACAAATCAATGATTAGCTTATTTTTCATAAAATAATTAAAATAAAATAAAGAAACTACTCTATTTTTTATAATTTGCAAGTGCGGGTAGTTTTGTAAAAAATGTGTCTCGGTACCTAGATGCACGGACTACGTGTCGAGTTGAAGGTTATGTAAGGAATGTTTCACATTGTTTGTGAGTATTTTATTTTTTTGTTAAAATGTTAAATACTTGTCTCTTAAATATTTGATGTTAGAATATGTATATTTTAAATATTTGATATATAATCTCTAATTTGTATGAAATTATAAAACTTTTTGTTGTAAGGTAATAACTATATTTGCAATACGCATACGACAACAAGCACGATTAAATAACAATTTATCAACTATCACATATGTTTTTAAAATCATAATAACAGTACGGACAAACATTTATGGTTAATCATTTTCATGTACACTAACCCTAAGTGCTCGCTCGCGCCATACCATGATGGGGTATAAAAGTTAGTTAAACGAATGACAGGTATTATTCCCTAATGTAAATTCGAGGCGACTAGATGAATTAGTAATTATATTATATTTGATAGTAATAGATGAGTTTACAGTGTACTCCTGGTGGCACGATGGACAATGTAAGTGTTTTTTTTTAAATTAATATTTTTAGATACCTACATGTTTTATATTTATATCCTTGTTTTTGAGCATAAAACAAATTAAACACATACGTCATTGTTGTTTTAGTTCTTTGGTAACAAGAAACATTAAAAAAAAATTAGATACTTGCAAATAATGGCGTGGAGTTAGGATGATCGTTTCAAACAATTTTGCTTAAAACAATTTTTCGCCCTGATTTAGGGCGTTGTTTGTGCAAAGTCGCCATTTTGATTTCTAGATACGTGTATTATTGCAAACATTTCTAAGACATGTTATTGTTGATTCTGAATTATAAACGTAGTTTATTTTGATAAACACCTATACTTATTGTAATATCCTTTTTAAACTCCTTATTTTCGACATTCAGACATTGTTTTTTGTTATTGCGTACATAGCGTCACTTCAGTCAACCTTACAATTAGTTCTTTTTTATTATACTTCGTATATTAAAGTTAAAATTATCGATCTTCTTTAAGTGTCTACAAAGGAAAAATACGTAATATAATAACTTATATTCAATCTTTATGAAAAAATAATAATTCGAACACTTCACCTCAAAACAAAGTACAATCAATTATCTTAATGTTTATGTGTATCTTTATGATTTAAAGAAAGTATGTCAGTTGGGGATGAAACTAATTTGATCTTATAAATGTTTCAGTTCATGGGCTGGGCCAAAAGACCATCCTCGACGCCAACGAATACTTTGCCTATTTACACTGCACAAGCTGGTACGTAATTAATGATGGTTTACACTATTTAAAATTCATTCATTTACAATGCTTACGCTTACAATTTTTTGCATAAGTAAAAACGAGTGAAGTCACTTCAATCATCTGCTTTTAATTAATCGATAAATGCTGACTTTATTATAATACAGTATGTATATCACTAAAAAACGATGTTTATTACAATATTTATTTATTTATTGATTTAGCACCGCGTGCTCAAATCTCATCTATAGATGAAGCGAGGAACGAGTTTCACCGAAACGGTATCGACTCTCCCTATGAACCAGAGGAGACACCTAGACCTAGCAGTAAGGACACTTCTAATTGTAAACATTTACAAACTAGGCTGCTAATACTTTGTCCTTATCATACTGTCAGGACTGGTAAAATACACAAGTACTCTTTGTTCGCAGACCTTACAGGGTTCGGTCCTCCACGGCAGTATCTCAAACAGATGTCGTGTCCAGTGGAACGCTTTGTAGAATCCAATCCATATCAAAACTTTCCTTCCACTGTCAACGACGTGACGACATCAACAGCAACGCCGTTCTACCAAGCTCCCTCTTTTTCGCCAGAGCAGCAACAGAATGTATTCAATCTAAACCAGGAGAAAGTGTATTGGAACTTTCCACAGCCGAATGAGTTCGTTCCCAGACAGGATATATCTCGCTCATACGCCCCGACCGTTGAAGAGATTTATTTGTATAATGATACTCTGACATCGCTTTGGAACACTGGGAGCAATTCTGTACCCGTTGATAAAATAAAACCCTTTGAACCCGGGCACAACACATATGCACCATTTGCATGTGGCCTCGATAGTCAGTCATATCCAGCTAAGTTAAGTACTCCAAACGTTCAGGAATCACCAATTCAATTTAAGCCCAGCGGTACAGCTATGACATTTTTCGAACAGGAATCTGTAAACGTTCCTATACAAAACGAACCGTTGGTACCAAACACTACACCCGAGGCTAGCTTGAAAGAGAATGAGGTTGATCAAACTTCCAACGATCCACCCAAGACCACTGAAGACCAATCCGAGACGCCAAAGAGAAAATCTTCTATTGAAGGTGAGATATATAAATATTCATGTGAATTTGTACTTAATAGAAGTTGAACATATTTTGTGTGAATTTATATTATATTTTCAGGGTTGGACATGTTTGAACATTTGAAAAACATGAACGTGGATCTGAACAATATAACTCCAGAACAGCTCGAGGCCGCGTTACCAATAATCTATTTAATCAAGGGCCTTGAAAATCATTACATGTTCCAGAAAAAGAAGGTTTTAATATTTCCAAATTTTTAATGCTATAAACTATAAAGAGATTAAAAATTTTAATTGACACGGTAGCCATTTTGGTCTAAAAAAGGAGAGTTAAATTTGAATGAAAGAGTTATTCAATTGCTTACGCCTTTATTTATTTCTTTTAAATAATTTCGCTTTTCCACGCTCCTTTCTTCTTTTGCTAATTCTTTTAATATCTTAAATGAAGTAAACACATAAAAAATTATTTTCAGTTACCGCAGTATTGCAGATTCTGTAGAAACAATGGGGAGCGTGAAACTGTATGTAAATCCCATGTTCTGCGCATTGAGGGGCGTGTAACGTGTCCAATCCTAAGGGCTTTGAAATGTACCAAGTGCGGTGCCCATGGCGACGATGCACACACTATTAAGTATTGCCCACTAGCCACCCCCGAAGGTAAGTCCAGACCTTCCAAACACTCATGATCTTTATATTAATAATGAAATTAATGTTATTTTTTGTGGTAGCGGAAGACAGACAAGCGCGAGGTTCACTTGATGGTAGGTGAATTATCTTAGCCATATAACATCTGATCCGGAGCTGCACTGATTGAAGCTGAAACGCGATTAAATTTGACAGCTTTTCCTTCTGTCGACGGTGGTTTGTGACCCGGACTAATTTTCGATATTTCAACTCTCATTTAATATCCAGATTTCCAGACGAAGTCTAACATGTTTTAAATAACTTGATTAGAAGCATTTGGACTCGGTTAGGAGCGAACCCACGGGACGTTGATTATTAGCCATTATTAGTACATCCCTACCGATATACCAACGAGCCCCTTAATTATGTATTGTTCAGTTCACTGTCTTTTCAAGGAAACCATTATTCCAGGAAACCAAACCACATTCTCCATAAAAGGCAAAATGACAATTCTTTTATATACATTTGTCTGTAGTTAATATATAATTTTTCGAATATATTTCGTGTATAAAATCGTTAAGTGTTTAAATAAATTAGTTTGTTGACACGATAGTGTCCTTAAGTGCGTCGTGGGAAAGCTATACGTTTAGTATACGTAAAACAATAATTTCTATTTAAAGCGTAGTTGATCTGACTTTTGTGCTCTATCCGACTGAAACTATCTATTTTATAAGATGGATAAGGTTCGCAGTCATTTTGCAAAGCTATTGGGTTTATTGGGTTTTCTTAGCATAGTCGAACAGCTCGAAAACTCATGTAACTATTTTGTTTACTCGAAATTTAAATTCAGCACTTCTCGTGTTTAACTTTTAAGCTACCTATATTATATGTGTTCCAGAACGTAAAGTAAGCACAATGTTGATGCAGAGCAGGCGACACTCGTCGGAGCGCCGTCGTAACCCTAGACCACTGTCTGGCGAGTTTCCACTAGAATCGGCTAGGTTCGCGCCTACACATTCCTACAGGGAAGTATCAAGAGATGCACCAAGAGATGGCGCTGATCGCAACTGTAACAATAATTTACAATTACACCCTTTATGGGCGGAATTAGAACATTACTTGGAACGCCAAACTGTCTAAAATGTATTATCGTGTCTATTTCATTTATTTTTTTTCAGTTTATAAGATTCTTAGTCCTACGATTTTTTACTACGTGTTTTAAGGTTACATACATTACCCGTGGCTTACATTATATAGTTATAAGCTAGATTGACATTTTTTGTTTGGGATATTGATTATTGACTCATGTTTATTCGGTTGCTTTTGACTTTCATAACTATCAATTTTTATTGGAAGAGGCATTTTTATACGTACAACTAAGTGTATTACAACACCTTATATTTTATTTGACACTGTCGTTTACGATATCTATATATATTAATATAAAATCGATATTTTAATATACACAGACGTAATCAACGTGAGATTGTGTTACCATATACAATAAATAACATAATATTTTAGACGGCAATGTTGAACATGTGGTGTTTAAAATAACTATATCTTAAATACAGATAGGATTTAGGACATTGTAATTCATTTAATTAAATATCGGGGTTCTATAGGTCTTATAAGAAAGTGTAATGTTGATGCATTATCCTTTAATATAGAATGACGGGTTCTTAATGATTAAGCAAAGACATCCCGATATCAAAGAATCGATATATTTTTGTTTTTTTGTGTGTGTTTTGTGTGTTGATAAAAAATTATTATTGTGATTCTATAATTTGTTTTTTTTTACTTCTATCCCAAACCTTTCTGTGTCTTGTGTAAACACAGACAAGTACCTGTATTGTACATTTTCGAAAACAATTTTGAAAATATACTTTTTACACAATTGTGTGTGGGTAACACAATATGTTTTAAGAATATGATATAAATTTGTATTTTAACAAATAAAAAGAGCATTAGAAGTAGTCAGTAGAATACTTGAATATTAAGGTTTTCAGACGAACTTGTCATTTAAACGTAACATTCTTTCTCAATGTAAGATTAGTGCACGGCGTGCAACGACGCTTAAGGAATTTTCCCTTAACAAAAATGTGGCATACGATATAATATAATTACGTTAAATGACGTAATTAACTTGCTATAGAGGGCATAATATTAGAAAAAAATATTAAGTATAACTATCACTAGAATATGTTAATTTTTGTGAGCATGTTCAATTGATGGTAGCTAAAGCCATATAATATCTAAATCAGATGCGCTGTCGACTTATTTATATAACTGAAACCGAAACGCGATTGAACTTCACTGCATTTTCTTCTGTGGACGCTGGTTCGTGGCATGAATGAATTTCGATATTCCTACCACCTATTTAACATCCAGATTTCTAGACGAAGTCCAACATGTTTCAAAAAAATATCTTTATTAGACAAAATCTGCTGAGGATCGCATCCAAGACCCTTTAATTATTAACCATACTTCACCCGTTAAAAGGATTTTTATCAATATAATAAGATTTTGTTTCTTAAATCTTTAGTAAATTGATAGTAATTGTATATTACAATTAATATCCATCTAGTTATTATACAATCCTCTAGTATACACTTAAGACATGCAAAACCATAACCGTGGTACGAATGCGCCTACGCAAAGTCCCCTCCTACCAAGAGAAATGGTCTGACCTTGTTTCTTGACCCACTGCCGCGACGTCTCGAACGAGCACCGACGCACACATAAATCTAGCTGCGTGTGCGCATCTGTCTGTACTTGCGGATCAAATGGCCGATTTGAGTTTGGAAAAATCAAAACAGATTTCAATTTAGAATTTAGAACAAATTATAAACGGAACATTTTTTTAACACTTTAATTTTTTTGTCGTAACGTGTGTTATATATAAATACTTTACTGTTTACTCCATCACCGTGGCAAAATAAATTTTCTTTCCGCTGTCAACTAAAATAAAAGTAACTTGAAGTAACAGTCTTCCTATGCTTGATCCAGATTTTATACATGTCTGTGGAATTGTTCTGAACTTAACAAACGCTTTTTTTTCAAACTTAATGATAAAATACAATACAGGGATATTCTCTATTCAAGATGGTCTAGACTTAACGACGACTCATGTTGATGCCTAGGCATTTATATTCCACGAACGATTCTAGCATCTAGATGTACACACGTGTGTGGGTGAAAGCTAGTTATCGTGCTGTAATATTTCTATCCTAAAAAAAAACTGAGTAGGCCTTTAGCTCAAATAATTTACAATGTGTCATTTGATTTGTTGGTTGATATTTATTAGGAAGCTAACATTACTGCTTTTCGACACAGCGAGCCCTCCAAAGCTCATGGCAATCAATTTATTTCTTCTTTTTCCTTCAAACAAAAAAATATATTTACCACGAAAGAGAATTAAACAACCTTAATCAAATAACCAACCAACCTTACCCAAAAGTCGGATGTACCAGTAGAACACCGTAGCTTAACGTTTTAAGGCTAATAAAATCAAATACAAAATTGTAGAAACTTTTATACTAATAATAATAATAATTATTATAAAGCTGAAGAGTTTGTTTGTTTGTTTGAACACGCTCATCTCAGGACACAACTGGTTCGATATTTTTAAAAAATATGTGGACTATGAATCAAGGATGGCTATAATTTAGGTAAACATCAGGTTGCGACTAATCTATGGGAGGAAACTTTTAGAAAGTGTGGGAAAAACGGGGAAAATTATTCAACTTTAGGGGGATTCCTTTGCGTGCGCTCCGAAAACGGCTCCAGACGCCTCAATGATGTGTTGATAATTTATCAAGTTAGGCAGGATGTTAGCTAAAATAAAAACTATGATGCCCAAAATAACTATTCCACGCGGACGAAGTCGCGGGCACAGCTAGTATCTATAATATATGTTTTGTACAAATACAATACAAAAATAATTCAATACGGTTCCTTAGTCACAGATAAAATAACTGTTTAAATTCCAAAATCTCCGCAAGATAACACTATAATCCTCCCACTTCACAACATTTGATGTCATTTCGCGATTTTTGGCACAAAATGAAATCACTTAGGCTTTTATATTTATTTGTTTAAGGAAAATATTTTTACGGATAGTAATCCGTTAACATTCAAAAATTATATATCTACGTAGGGTGTTATATAAATTTATGCCTATTAAATAAAAAAAATATATCGCTTCGAAAATAATTCTTCTTATTATATCGTTAACACAAATTCATTATTTGTTTCAAACAAAACCAATTTAATATCCAAAGCTTTTCAAACGTGTAGCTTTACAAAAGTCCAACGTGTATTAAAAATGTATTTGTACATTGTTGGACCCGGGGGGGATAAACACATGCCCCGTTAATTATTAGCAATACATTGCTGCTATTAGAAGTTTATAAAAATGATTTTTTTTTTCTTAAAAAATATTATTATCTTTCAGAATGGTGATGGGATCAATCAAGTAATTCGAAAAACAAGTTATACCTAAAAAAGGCAATAGATAAGAATGTATTTCAAAAACCATGTATCCCGCATAGTGAATCGGCAATCAGTTAAAAAGTAAAAGTCTGCGCGGGCGCAAAGCTAACTGTACCCACATTCGCTCTCGCTCGACGCGCGGCACACTTACTTGGAAATGGAACGCGTTAAATTAACCGTTTTGAGTTTTTAACGGATTTACGTTGCGCTTGCGCCTGTGGATCATGTTAAAATCAAAAATCGCCATACTAGCAAATGCTTGTAGTTTCTCCTAATAATTAAAAGTAGTCCTTTATGCTTCTGCCTCGTATAAGCTGCATTAACATAGATTTGTGTTCTTTTTTGCTAAAAATGCATTTAGTGACTAATCCTTAAAAATTTCAGTTTTTAGATTATTAGTAAGTTCATTTTTGCCATAAACAACTAATACTGAAAACAAAAAAAATAAGTGTGATTCTGGTCTCTTCAGTGTCAACTAATGAAATTAACTATGTTAAAGGTTAAGAAGGCAGGAAGTTTAAACCTTTTTTATTAGTAATATTAAATGAGAATGTTCTGAACATCGAGTTACTACTTTATGGTTACAGACAGATTCTTAAATTATCACATAAATAATAGAAATTCGTAGATGTGCTACGGCGTAGCAAAGAGTCTCTGTGCTCTGTGAAATATCTTTCACAGTTTTTTTTCCTATGTAATATTTGAATAAATACAATAACTTTTATATAACTTAAACTTAGAATTATAAGATGAACAATTTTGGATTAACTAATTCTTTCTCATTTTAAAAATGCGAGTTTCTTAAATATCAAAATTCTACAGTAGATAAATTGAAAAAGTATTTACGTGTAAAAGAATTAACGACACTGGTGGAACTCAATTATAAAACCAATGCGATGCTCTTGCTACACAGGTTGTGTGTAATTGTTAAAATGAAGGCTTAATTTTTAATCGGAAATTATTTTAAATGTTAGACTTAGATAGAACAACCTTACAATACAAATCTTTAATGGCACGTGTAGAATAGATATAATGTTCAATTATGATAATCTCAGTATACATAATTTAGTAGTTCTATGGTAATAAGCCGAATACCGTTACAGACGTACATTTAAGGATTATGATAAGTATGTATATATTTGATCTTTCTATAAGATAGTTACTATAGCATATTAGACGGATTACATTGCGTGTTTTTATTAAAGCTTATAAATTACAATATAATTAAACTGCTTTGAGGCATTTTAATTTTTTTTCTAATTCAGGGAATAAAGTTTAGATGTTATGGTTTAGGTTCATGTGATAGTAGGTGATTTCGTCTACTATCCCTCACATCTACATGCGCCTCATGTTTGTTCGTCTTTATATATCTTTAAAAAAAAAATACAGAAAGAAACTATCTAATCTCCTCTCTTTTAGAAATGGTTGTGGGTGCATTGCCTGGAGGGATGCTGATTGGGGGATCATTAACGACTAACGTAACTTACCTCAAGTGCTTTCGTAATGTTATTTCCTTCTACACCATAGATTTTTTTATAATTATAAATACCGAATTATCATTTCATCTGAGCCGGAATTCCAAATCTGAATCTTGACCAATCAAAAGACCAACGCATAAATTCTTGTATTCAATTATATTACAAATA